AGTGCAGGGGCCTTAATAAGTAGAATAGGGTTTTGGGGCCTTGAAATACACTATAGTTGCAATAAGGAACCCCCAAAATAGTATTGTTTTTTTTTCGGCCCCTACATTACTGCGCTTCTTTGAGAGGCCTATAACTGGGCTTTATACAAGGCTTGCGAAATTTGGAGGCTCCGGGATCTAGAGATACTGTGCTTCGTACCCAGAGAGCCCCATACCCCTTAGTTTTGGAATACACCTTATAGCATAAATATTAGGGCCCCTATATTTTAAGGCATATTCCTTAATTAAGGAATATACCTTAAATCATAACATTAAGGCCCCTAGAATTTAGGGTATATTCCTTGATTAAGGGGTATTGGGCTCTCTGGGTATACTTTTGGTTCGGATCTGCCTCCACTAATAAAAGAAAAGTCCAGGCTTTTCCATCCGTGGCCACTTCGTCGTTCTCCGAAAAAGTTAGTGGAAACACTGGAAAAGCTCAAGAAAAGAAGAACTGCAGGAACAGAAGGAACTGCAACAGCAATGCGAATATCCATAGCGATCAGAGTCCTCGCCGTTGCGGTAGTACGGGTACTCGTACTACTACGCTAGTAGCAGCATTAGCAGGAGCAGCAGAAGTACTATAGTACTATTACATAATGCGGAAACCCCCCCAAACAAAAATGATAATACAGGTAATTTATAGAGGCCCCTTATGTATTAGTAGTTGCTGTCGTCCAGCAAAGCCCGAGGCTCCCCTTCGCAGTCCTTGGCCTTCACTGACATCCCCAACGGTCTGAAGGGTGCCGCGGCAGTCCCGCTTGCAGGAGGGGCGCTTTCGGGGTTTGCGTCTTGGGACTTCGGGTTCACGGTTTGGGGTTTAGGTTTTAGGGTTTAGGGTTGGTTTGGGGTTTGGGCGGTTCAGAGCGGTTTAGGGTTTAGAGCAGAGGTTTTGAGGTTCAGCATCAGAAGTTGGTTGAGGCCAGAAGAAGTCGGAAGTTGGCTCTTGCGTCAGGTGTTCCTGGTTTTCCGGACTTCAGTCGGTGCTCAGTGTCTCGGAGTTCCGGATTTGCTGTTCAAGATAGGTACCCTAAACCCTAAACCCCATAAGCCTTGGAAAAAACATAAACCCCTAAACCAAAGCACAGAATGCAGGGCACCGTGAGCCCCCCTTGGGTTTCATGAACTTACAGGCTCGAAGCAAGCGCAGAGCGTGTAGGAAGAAGGCTGCTCCCTTGCTTACGACTACTACTTCTTTAAACCAAATGCAGGCCCCATGATCACAATCCCCGGGTTGAGGGCTCTTGGAGTTTCCGAAGACCTTACACTTCTCAGTTCAAGTAGACCGTTTTTTAAGTGGTAAGTTTAGGATTCAGGGCATCAGGGCTCCACATTATCAGTAAGAGTGCTTCCTACACCGCACACCCTTTAGCCCTAAACCCTAAACCCCCACCCCTCCCTCCCTTCCCCTTGCGAAGAAAGCCGCCCAAAAAGCCCCACTGGGTGTTGGGCGCTTGAGGCTGCGGAGTTTCCAGGGCTTGCCTTGAGGGTTTTCTAACGGGTTCTTTGAGAGTTCTATACCGGTGCCGTATAAGGCTTTTTAAAAGGGTCGTAGGGTTTGGGCTTAAGGTGTCTATTACGCATTTCAGGGTCGTAGGATTCAGGGTTCAGAATCCTGCACCGGCGCATCTCTTGCCGAAGAAACAGAATTTCTAAGCAAGAAATGCTGTGTAGATCTTCAAAGTCCTCACGTGCCGTTTTCTAAAACAAGCAACACGTCATGACCTAGCCACCCCGGCTTCTGGCAGGATGGCTCCAGATTGTCACCTTCGTCGGCATCATCGAGGTGTCCAACCTTCAGCACGCCGGGTGCACTTGAGGAAGGCTTTGTGTAGTTCTTGGGAGTTCTTTGTACCGTCGTTAACCATAAAACCCTGAACCCCTAAACCCTAAGCCCTAAACCCTAGGCCCTAAAGCCTAAAACCCTAAATAAAACAAAAACCTAAACCCTAAACCATAAACCCTTAGACTCCCAATCCCCAGAACCCTTGTGAGAAATTGTCGTTCCTTCTCTGAGGCTAAGCAGAATTTGGCATACCGGGTATAGAGTTAGGGTTTTGGATGAGGGCCTTGAGGCTCTCAGGTCAGGGGGTTTCAGGGCTTCAAGGGCATTTGACTCTAGCGCTTGCTCTTAAAACCCTAAACCCCTAAAACCCCTAAAACCCTAAACCCTAAAACCCTAAAAACGCTTAAACCCTAAAACCCTGAGCCCGAAACCGCAAAAGCGCTTCAGGAACATTCAGACGGACGTCCTCGGCGACTACGGCTACGGTGCTTTCGGACTTCCCTTCGGCAAGAAGATCGAGGTGCTGCCAAAGCAAAGAAGGCTTAGGTCCGGGGCGTACCTAGAGAGCCCAAGACCCCTTAAATAAGGAATATACCTTAAATCTTAATATTAAGGCCCCTATAATTTAAGGAAGATCGAGGTGCTGCCAAAAGCAAAGAATGCTTAGGTTTTTGGGGCGTAGGGTTTAAGGTTCAAGAGCTTCTGGACCCCTAGCTTTGAGGGTTAGGGCTTTAGGGTTTTAGGGTTTAGGGGTTAGGGGTTTAGGGTTTTGGGTTTAGGTTTAAGTTTAGGGTTTTTTGGGTTGAGGGTTGTTTTAGGGCCTTTGGATTAGGCTTCAGGGCTACAGGATCCTGGACCCGAAGCCGTCGCTGTCGTCGCAGGGCCCTGTACCCCGAAGCCCGAACCGTGGGTTTCGGCCGCAGGGCTTAGGGTTTAGGGCCTAGGGTTTAAGAGGTCTAAGAGGTTTAGGGGGTTTAGGGTTCGAGAGCAGATGAAAGAAAGCCCTAGGGGCATAGCCTTCTACACTCAAAACCGTCCAATCCCCGAAGCCTCAGACAACTTGAGCCCCCTAATCCTAACTCCCAATGAGGACTCCGAGAAGAAGATGAAGAGCCTCAACGCAGAGATCAACAACGGAAGGCTGGCCATGCTCCCTGGATTTAGGATTTAGGGTTTAGGGATTTAGGGTTTAGGGGTTTAGGGTAGGGTTAAGGGTGGTTTAGGCCAACTTCTATACCATACCCTACGGAGAGTGGATGCAAACCCTGTAAACGCCTTGATAATCCGTTGCAAAGAACCCTCTAAAATGACTCCAAAAGTGTAAGGTTGGTTCTATGGTCAGGACTCTCTTCGGGTTTATGGGGCGTACAAGGGCATGTTAGGGTCTGCGGTCAGGGCTTTAGGGTTTCGGGGTCAAGGGTTCGTGGCAAAAAGTGGTAAGGGAGGAGACTCGATAGGCCGCATAATATAAGGGCCTTAATAATTAGAATAGGGTTTGGGGTATATTATTACTATAACTATAATAAGGAAACCCCAAAACATCTATTCGAATTATTAAGGACCCTACATTAATTGTCAGGATCTCGCACTGACCGTTTTTTGGAAGCCCGCCCCCTACTGGACCAAACAACTTAATTAGTATGTAGGGTTATAGTGCGTGTAGCTAGTCTTGCAAGTACTTCCTAGCTTAATTGAGGTGCTTTTGGCTGTACTTCTGACGACCCGCGCACCTTCAAGTTCAATGGCCCTAAACCCTGCACGCTAAGACCCTGAACCATGTGGCCCTCATTCCCCACAATAGTTGCCTTACACGCCCCATAAGACTTCCCTGCTTGTTTCTGTTTACGTCAAGAATGGAACCCTCTTGTCGGGGTCCGTATACCCCCGCTACATACTGAACCCTAAGACCGAAAGCCAAGCGAAAGCCAAGCCTTGAACTTTAACCCGGACACCTCAAGCGCCCCGGTAAGACCATGGCGTGCTCTAAGCATTAAGGAACCTTTTGTGGAACCTTTCAACAAGTTCCCATGTGTTCTATCAAGGTTGTTTGGGGGTTCTTTCAAGGTCCTTCAGGGGTTCTTTCAGGGTTCTACAAGGGAGTTGTGTTTTTGTGTTTCTGTTGCTGCCCCTGAAGCCGCGATTCCGAATCAAGTCAGCGAGGTTTGCCATCATCGGAATGTTCTTCCAGGATGGCCTGAGACCTGGCTGAAGAGCTCCTTGGGGTTGTAGGGGTTGGAGCCTGAGGGGCTTTAGGAGCAAGGGAGTAAAGGAGAGACCCTTAAAGGGACCCTTGGGGTTATTTTCGGGACTGTAGGAGACTATATAAGGGGTATACAAGGGTTACTAGGGTATTAGGATTAGGTGTCCTTTCTAGGGATCAATCCTATTGTCCTGCATTCGTCTTTTATGAACGCGCCAGCATGCGGTTTCAGGACCTGAGAGTCTGTCGCGGACTTCTGTGTGTGTGTGTGGCTTTTTTTTCGGAAGTGTAGTCTTCGCTGCAGGACTATGGGTATCATTACCCGTGTTCTTGTTATTGCTGCTGCCTTTACTAATCGCAGTCGTTGTGCCGTTCGACCAGTTGTTTCAATGGCATTCTCCTTTGCTGCACAAGCATACACATATGGCTGCCAGCACGCAGATTCTGCTTAGGATGCGGATTCATACAAGGCTGATGGGATGAGAGAAAAAGATGACGATCATGGCTTCTCCTCCTCATGCAATCGCAGTATGTGTAGGAGTTTCAGACAGTAAGCGGCTCTGGGTGATCCCGAATAGCAGGATTAAACCTAAGCAATCCGATTTAGCATTCTCAAAAACCAGATACGGCACCGAATAGTTAGTATCAAAAAACCCCGTTCCCCCTGCGTTAAATGCTGCAAAAGCCTGACAAGCAACACCCTTGCAAAAACCTTTTGGTTTGAGGCACTTCAGATTCTCAGAAACTGTCACAGGCACCCCAACAGCACCTGCGAACCCAGAGAGCCCAATACCCCTTAAATAAGGAATATATACCTTAAACTATAAGGGCCTTAATATTATGATTTAAGGTATATATTCCGTAATTCCCTTATAGAAACCCTTATAGATCCTTTTCAAGGAACCCTTTGAAGGTGTATATTCCTTAATTAAGGGGCCCCTTGGGCTCTCTGGGAAACTCAGAGCCAAGGACCGGCTCCGCGTGGGGCGACTGGGCGACCTACACCGACTCGCCTCTGCGTGCTTTCGAGGAGGAGCTCGGAGCCCGGAGCTCCCGAAGTGTTCGAAGAAAGGGATCTACAGGGGGGTAGTTCTCTAAAGTAGGCTCCCTTTTAGGGTCCTCTTTATAAGGGTGCCGTTTTATAATGGGGACCTAAAAGGGGACCCTTAAAAGGAAAACTATCTATATGGGTACCAGAAGGGCTTATGGGGTTTAAGATATAGTTAAAGCTAAGGGGGCTTTAAGGTTTCCCGAAGTGTTCGAAAGAAGCCTAGAGCTAAACCCTAAACCCTAGGGTTTAGGGTTTAGGTTGATGATACAAATCCTGCATTACCCATAGCAAACAAATATACCATAATTCCCATAGTTTAGGGTCCTTAAGGTAGTGGAACAAAGGGATCTATATGGGTACCAGAAGGGCTTAGGGGGTTTAAGGTATAGTTATAGCTAAAGGGGGCGTTGAGGGCTTCTGTTTAAAAGCCTGGAAGGTGTCGGGACTTCAGGGCCTTCCAGAGAGCTTGAGAGTCTAGCTTTCTTTGGGAGAATTGACCTTTTCAGTGTGTTCAGGGTTTTAGGGCTTTCTAGGCCAGGGCTTTCTAGGCAATTTAGGGTTCTGGAGTACCACACTTGAATACTTTTTTATTGGACCTGTTCCTTAAAGGAACCATTATAAAGTAAAAGTTTATACTTCTTTCTCCCTGGTTACTTCAAAGTCCGGTTTAGGGTTCAGGTTTCCAGGGCTTGGGGGGCTTTCGGGCTGAAGGGGGACGCTCCAAACCGAAGCCACCGGAGCATAGATCCTGGAGCCTAGGGCCCCCGCAACGTTCCATAACGTAGTAGCTGACTAGGTATCCTTGAACCGTTTTGGGGCTTATATACTCCTACCAAAATTGAAAGGTTCACCTTTTTGGGGCTTGGGTACTCAGCCCCTAAGATTTAAAAAAAAAGAAGAAAAACCTTCGGGAGCTCCTGGTTGAAAAAGGACTAGGTTCCCCAGTAGTACCCTTTTGCCCTTTTTCTTTTGAGGTTCCCCAAAAATAAAGCCAAAGAGTAGGAAAAAGGGTAGCCTTATTATGAATCGGCTACTGGGGAACCTAGAAATCATAGGGGCCTTAATATTATGATTTAAGGTATATATTCCTTAATTCCCTTATAGAAACCCGTTATAGATCCTTTTTAAGGAACCCTTCGAAGCTCCTGGTTTTAAAAAAGGAGCTGGGCGTGCAAGCTCCCGTGGGCTTCTGGGATCCCGTTGGCTACACCCGGGATGGAAACGTCGAGACCTTCAAGCGCCGCCGTGAGACTGAGATCAAGCATCTTGCACGGTTAGCCCGCGGTTCTTTGGTTTAGGGTTTAGGGTTCTTCGGGTTCTTGGGATTTTTGGGGTTTGGGGTTCTGGGTTTTCAGGGTTTAGGGTTTAGTGTCGGGCAGTGTAGGCTCTACGATGCAGCGGAACGATCCCTAAGCCGCCTAGATCTTGAAGAGGGAAGTGGTGTGCACAGGGAGAGGTGCCAACCATGCAACTCCAGCCTTCAATGACCGCGCTGAGGTTCAGAGTAGGACCTGCGCTCCCCTAAACCCAAAACCCGAAGCCCCAAACTCAACAGGGCTTTGGGTTTTAGGGTTTTGGGTTTTAGGGTTTTGGGTTTAGAGTTTTGGGTTTTAGGGGCCCCAAGGGGCCCGAAGCAGAACGACACAGCGAAGGCATGGCCGCGTAGCGATGTATGCGACCGTTGGCTACATCGTGCCTGAGTCTCGGCGCTTGTGAAGGAACTCAAGTTAGGGTTTAGGGTGTATAGGGGTGTAAACTTTTATAGTTGGGGCTTAGAGGGTTTAGGATCTCAATGAAAACACTGCGTGGTGGAAGCGATGTGCGTTGTAAGTACTCTGCTCCGCATGCTCTTATCTTATCACTAAAACTAAGATCCTGTACACCATGTAAACACCCGCAGACGTCCCCAAAACTCGAAGCACCTTAACTTAAGTTCTGGTGAAATCCACTGAGCTCCCATGTAGTAAGATGCTGCCCTTCCTGTTGTGCACGAAGCTAAAAATTCCGTCTAGACAACCCCAAGCTTCACAAGCCTAAACCCTCTCGACTGCGTAGGTACCCCCGGTTAGAGTACTCCGTAGGGCTTAGGGGTTTAGGGTTTTGGGTTTTGGGTTTAGGGTTTAGTAATTTAGGGTTTAGGGCTTAGGGCTTAGGGTTTTGGGGTTTTGGGTTTAGGGCTTAGGCTTTAGTAATTTAGGGTTTAGGGTTTCGGTACCCCCACCCCATGAACAACAAAACCCCTTCCGGTCTCCCTCCTCTTTGAGCCCAGGAGTACTTCAAGTTTAGGGCTTAGGGTTTAGGGCTTAGGGTTTTGGGTTTAGGGCTTAGGTGCGCCCCCGATGAGCAAGGGGGCAGTCTCTCTTCTGTGAGCCCAGGAGTACTTCAAGTGGCCGGGGTTCCTCTCGCCCTCCTTGGGCCTGAAGCCTCTCGGCTCTTTCGGCTCTTTGGGGGTTTCGGGTTTGTAGGGGTGGTAGGGTTGTAGGGGTTTAGGGGTTTTAGGGTTTTAGGGGTGTAGGGGTTTAGGGTTTTAGGGGTGTAGGGGTGCAGGGGTTTAGGGGTTTCGGGATTTAGGGGTTTAGGGTTTCGGGGTGTAGGGGTGTAGGGGTTTAGGGTGCAGGGTTTAGGGTTTAGGGTTTCGCGTTTGGGGTGTAGGGTTTCGGGTGTAGGGTTTAGGGTTCAGGGTTTAGGGTTTGGGGGTTTTGTGTTCAGGGTTTAAGCTTAGGGTGTTATAGGCGGTTTTCCCTTTTAAGGGTTCTTCATATCGGTGCCACAGGGTCAGTTGCTTAGGGCTTAGGGGTCCGCAAAGGAAGGATGCTACCTTAAGTTATTACGTAGTTCCTATGCCGTGTTAAGACAAGGGGCCTGAAAACCCCGTGATAGGATTCGTTAGGTTCCTGAATAATATGGGTGGTTCTCTAAATTAGCCCGCCGCCCAGGCGTCTTGCCGCGCTTGCACAGGTGCTTCATGTCTTGCGTTTTCCAGCAGATTCGGCTTGTCCGGACTGGAATTCGCGCGTGCTCTCAGCATTTTCGGCTTCTGCACGCTCGCCGATTCCGTACCCCTTCCCACAAACTCCATCCTTTCCCACAGAGCATCCATGGCCCAACCATGATAACGTTCCCACAATCTCCATCCGTTCCCACAGAGCATCCATGTGCCAACCATGATAACGTTCCCACAAACTCCCCCCGTTCCCACACAGCATCCACAAACCTCGTTCACCTCCGGCCCCAAAGCAGTGCAACCCCAAACATTGACAGCCGTAGTGGCCCCAAAACTCTTTCATTCAAGGCTTTCCTCTAGCATGTATTTTTTGTAAAAAAACACGTTGGAAAAGCTGCCTCCTGAGCCACGACCAAGGCACTGTCGTACTGTAAATGCCAATAGATTCGTGTGTTACGGCTCCATGTTTATTCTTGCGCTGCGGCGTGACGTCCGGGCGTAGCGTTTAGGGTCCCTTCAAGGGTCCTTGTAATAAGGCTGTCTTGGTATATTTGGGGCTTAAGGAAGGTACCCTAATTTAGAGAATTACCCTTATGGAAGCCCCTATAGAAACCCTTGTAGAAACCCTAAAAGGGACCCTAAAAGGGACGCGAATTTAGCGAACTACCCATATTGTAACCCTTATAGTAACCTTAACCCATATAGAAACCCTAAAAGGGACCCCAAAAGGGACCCTAATTTAGAGAGCTACCCATGGTGGGTTTGAGGGTGTCAGAGGTTCGGGATTCAGGGCTTTGGGTACCAGGATCTCGGGGGCGTCGGCTTCTTGGTTTAGGGCTTTTAGGGTTTAGGGTGTTTTTAGGACCGTTTAGGCAGTTTAGGGTCTTAGGGAGTTTAGGATTTAGCGAGTAGGGAGTTTAGGGTTTAGGGAGAGTGGGGAGTTTAGGGCTTAGGGAGTTTAGGGAGTAGGGAGTTTAGGGTTTGGGGTTGAGTAGTCTTGGGGTTAATAGAAGGATCCTACTATGCTTCACGGTTCTGTGGTCTTCAGGCCTCGCCGAAACTGTGGCCGAAACTGTGAGTCTTGATACTTGGGTTCTATAGGCTTGGTAAGGGTTCACTACCATTTCGGAGCGCAGTCCCTTACTTTCGATAGTGCTCGCATAAGCGAAAACATGCGTAAGCCCGAAAACCGAAAGCCGAAAACCCCAAAGCGGACCCTACGACCCCCAAAACTCCCTGGTTCCTAGTAGGGAAGGGGACGGATGGCGGGGGGGAGGGGAGGGGTGGAGGCGGGGCCCCCACTAAGAACCAGGGACAAAAAAAAGATTCCGGAACCCAAAAAACCAAGGCGCGAGAGACCAAAAGCCCTCAAGCCCCAAGGTCCTTGAGGCTCAGAGCGCGATACCCGGAAGCCCGAGCCACCAAAGGAGGGAAGCGGAGAAGTAAAACCACATCACACAAAAAGAAGAGGAGCGCCAAGATCCTCAAAAGCCCCCTAAGATCGGAAGAGCCCAAATACGCCAAATACGCCTTGTTTAAACAGGCTGCGCCCAACAAACCCCCATTAAAACAAAGAGAGGTCCAAAGACCCTCCCAAACTCTGCCTTGTTTCCCCAAGAAGCCTCCATAAAGCGAAAGCCCAGGTTCTCGGACGTGCCCAACGGCTTGGCTGCCATCAGCAAGGCCGAAGTTGAGGGCGTTGGCCTACTTGGGGAATTTCCGGGGCTTTGAGCTTTAGGGATTTGCCGGTTTTTTTCTTATGTGAGGTTTTAAAGGGGTCTAGAGTCTAGGGGTTTCGACTCGGGATGTATAGTCGAGTTTATTGGGGTTTCGTTAGACTTTGCTAGGGCCTCTTTAGTTTGCATTCGGGCTTTGGGGGCTTCAGAGTTTGGGTTCGGGGGTTTCGGCTGGCCCTCGGCTGGCGGCAGGATTTGCTATAGGGGCCTTAATAAATACCTATAGTATTATTATTGTTGTTATTATTATTATTGTTATTATTATTATTATTATGTGTGTGTGTGTTTTTGGGGGAGTCCTTATTATAAGTATAGTAATTATAGTAGAGTATACCCCAAACGCCTAGTCTAATTTATGAAGGCCCCTACATGAGGCCTTGAGGTTCGAGCGTCCTACTACGGGGCTCGCTATCGCGGAGTTCTGCATGGCCTTCTTCCCGGGCTAACACAAGGAAAAGCCACGGTTAAGGTTTAGGGTTTAGGGTCGTCAATGGAGCACCATATCAACATCCCCCTGGTTGTTAGCGTTCCTTTGTTAAGAGTCTGGGATCAATAGAGCACAAGATCAATACCTCTTGAATCCTAGGGTTCCTTTTTAAAGAGTCTTGGGGTTACATCAAGGAAGATTCCTCCTGTTGGTTCGGACTGTGTAATATCCCTTTATAGCCCCTGTATGGTTTTAAAAGATGCACCAAGACCCTATTGAAATTACGAATGCATGGATCTAAAGTAAGTTTCCAATCGTCACTCCTATACACCACCGGACCTCTAGAGCAACCGCTGGGACCCTGAACCCGTCCACCTAAACCCATGAGACTAGGTCACCTTTTGTGGCCCTTTGAAACCCTACCCAAAAAATCAAACCCTACCCAAAAAATCAAACCCTACCCAAAAAATCACTACACGCTTACTAAACCCGGCTCCTAGTCAACACCCTAGACCCAGAGAGCCCCGAGGCGCTTCTTAAGTAAGCAATATATCTACCCTAAATCATAATATTAAGGCCCCTATAATTTAAGGTATATATTGGTTTCTATAAAGGGAATTAAGGAATATACCTTAAATCAGAATATTAAGGCCCCTATAATTTAAGGTGTATTCCACAATTAAGTGGGGGGGGTATTGGGCTCTCTGGGGACTTTTGAACCCTCAGTCTCTTGCAAAACTCCCCTATCCCCACTTTAGGGAGAGACTTCGTCGAAGGTGCCCGGCGCAGGGTGGGCCCAGATCGTGGCCTTTGCCGGATACTACGAGCTCTTCGCGTACAAGTACAACGGAACCCCAGGCCTGATGGGGCGTTAGCCTTTTTGAAGCGGACACGCGGAGGTCTGTGTGTGTGGGTGTGTATAATATATATATATATATATTATAACCATTTCAATACAAAAAAAGATATACACATGTGTATATATATATATGTATGTAGAAATGACTGGTTGACTGACTGATTGACTGACTGACGGAATCAACGAAGGAAGGAAATGATACAAAAGGAAGGGAAGGGAAGGGAATGAGCGAATGAACGAACGAAGGAATGAGCGAATGAGCATGTGTGTATGTGTATGTAAAATATTTATGTTTATATTTACATGTGTTAATATGTGCATACGCTCATGATCATGTATATGCACATGTGTTTGTATGTGTATATGTAAATGTATATGTAAATTTATATGTAGATGTCTTCGCATATGTGTTTGTATGCTTGTATGTCTGTATGTGTATTGTATATAGATAGATAGATAGATAGATAGATAGATAGGTATATAGATAGACAGACAGATAGATAGATAGATGTGTGTGTGTGAGTATATGTACATCTGTGTGTGTGTGTACACGGGTGCCTTTGTCTATGTGAATCCCTTCTTTGTTCATCTGTTTGCGCAAACACTGTACTTATGCATGTGTGTTGATACTTGTCCATGTCTATCTATCTCTCTATCTACCTATCTACCTATCTATCTATCTATCTATCTATCTATCTATGTATCTATCTATATATACATATATATATATACACCTCTCTCTCTCTCTCTTTGTCGATGTTTATGTATATCTGTTCCTGAACATGTATCTATTTTCTGAGTTATAGGACGTTTTCGGACTTTCTGTCGCCCTCAAGGATCAGAGCCGGGCTTGGGGTAGACTCTACGTCCTTTAGAAGTGGGTAGGTTTCAGGTTCAGGGTTTACTGTTTAGGGTTGAGGGTTCAGGGCTTAGGGTTTAGGGTTCAGGTTCAGGGTTTAATGTTTAGGGTTGAGGGTTCAGGGCTTAGGGTTTAGGGTTCAGGTTCAGGGTTTAATCAGATGAACAGAGCCCCTTTCGCAATGGCCATTCCTGTTTCGGCTTCCTACTTATACTGCGATCAACGCAGAGGTGACTTCTCAATTCAGGGGTCTACACTGGTACACCCTAAACACGCAACCCAAAAGGGGTCTACACTAGAAAACCAAGGATTGTGGCCTTTTAAGAAGCTTGTCCGACAGCTCCTAAGGTGACTACGGCTGGAAGGTCATCACCGCCAGCGAGCCTGAGGTGCAAATTTCAACAAAATCCTAAACCGCAGCACGTTAAACACGGTTTAGAGGGTTTTTGGCTCCTAGACGATTGACGCAGACCCCTGATGAAGAACCCACCCCCCCTTTCCTCCTTACGGGGCCCTATGTTGCTGGCCATGGCTTGCCTCACAAACTTCAGTCACTTAGAAGAGCGAGGAGCTGTTGAGTTCCCCAATGAGCTCGAGGGTTCTAGGTTCCTAGGGGCCTTAATAACTAGAATAGGGTCCCTTTAAAGGGCAACTATAGGGGTAAGTACTTATAAGGGTTCTATAAGAGGTTAGTGGAGGGGCCTTAATAATTAGAATAGGGTTTTTGGTATATTATACTATAATTATACAAAGGAACCCCCAAACCCTCATTCGAATTATTAAGGCCCCTACACTAGTACCCTGTTGCCTGGTTTTGCTATGGGGTTCCCCTTAAAAAATGCCTTCAAGCCTGAACAAAAATATAAAGGAATCCATAGGAATTCCTTTTCCAAGGGGCGCGATTTGGGAACTTAGCCGAGACTGAGGAGGTTCTTGTCCTTTTGCGTTGATCTTGGAAACCTGACCTTTCATTTCCTCGTGACGTTGTGGACGCACGAACAGCTTTAGCCAAGGAGACGAGTATGTAGAATGCAGGTTCCGGGCCAGGGACTAATAAGTACTTGGGGTCTTCGGCGAGTCTAGAAGAAAGGAAGGGGAATTGCCCTGGACAATGCTTTGATACCCCACTAGAAACCCGAAAAGATGACACCCTACGCAGTGACCCTGAACCCAGCACCCGAATAGTAGAAATCCTGAATACCTATTAAGGGCCCCGATATTTCAGCCGTGCGCTCTACACAAAAGTCACAAAAGTTGCTGAAAAGGTGTGCAAAGGTTCGAGTCGAAATTAAATCCTAATGACATCTTGGCACAACGCCATCTGAACAGTACAAACACCCCAACGCCAGCACCAACGCCCCAAAAACATAGTTCCCTCAGGACCTACTTTCCTACGAGGCTCTTGTGCACGCCTTCTAAGGCGCTCAAGAAGAAGCTCAGCGCGGAGCTAGCAAATGGGCGCTTGGCGATGATGGCGATCATTGGGATGTTCTTCCAGGAGGGTTCAGGGTGTAACGTCCAATAAAGAAGCCTGAATAAATATAGATACACGCACATACATACATACATACATACATACATACATACATATATATATATTTCCTGAGGGTTCCTTATTAACATGACTATACTATAACCTATGCTAAAACCCTAATCCAAGTATTAAGGCCCTATTAGGCTTTCATTGGTATGTCCTTCCAGGACCCAGATGAGTGAAACCCCTGGGGGTTGCGGAAAGGGTCACCACTGCTGAGGGATACTATCCGGAGTGCTGAAAAAAGGGGCCTTTATGGGGGAGCTCAGGGCCTAGGGTTTAGTTTTCCTCGTTGGAGTGTTGGGTTCAAGGATTGCGGCCTTATAGCCTTGAGGGGTTCAGGCTCGTTCTGGAACAAGAAGAAAGACTTGATAGTGGCAAAAGGTGAAACCCAGCGCCTGGAAATCCCCCACTGCATTTTTTAGGACAAATCCTTATACTGTAGTGGGGATGTTGAAGCAGGGGATCTTCATTAGGAGATTGAAGTTTCTGGGAACATAAGAGTAGTCCAGGTGTGGAAGATTTGTAGTCATCGAAGTCCCGACATAAACACTCAAAGGCCGTCATTCACAAGAGCAGCGGCCATAGCAATAATATAGGGGCCTTAATAATTAGAATAGGGTTTGAGGCCCATTATACTATAACTATAATAAGGAACCCCCAAAACCCTATTCTAATTATCAAGGCCCCTATATTACGTACGACAACCATATTCCTGGCCGCTTGAAGGATCCCACAATTCCATGCCGTAGCTTACCCTGTAGACCATACCTGTTGGTTTTGCAGATCCTGAAAGGGTTCTATAGGGGCGTACGTAATATAGGTGCCTTGATAGGGTTTTGGGGGATCCCTATGATAGTTATAGTAAAATATACCCCAAAACCCTATTCTAATTCTGCTAGTGCGCTAGTCGCCGTCCGACAGGAAGACTGGGTTAGTTACTTAGGTTTCCTCGGCAAGTGCAACTCAGTAGTTGAAACAGCACGTAGAGAGACCGTGCCTGGTGCAGGACGGACTGACAGGCTCCGCGTGGGGCGACTGGGCCACCTACACTGACTCGCCTCTGCGTGCATTTGAGAACGAGCTGGGAGTGCAAGACCCTGTTGGATTTTGGGATCCCGCCGGGTTCACCGCAGATGGTAGCGTGGAGAACTTCAAGCGCCGCCGCCA